CGAGTCGGAGATATCATTCATTGTAATTTCGAGGTGTTGATCCAAATATTTACACACAGTTCGTGACATTTCAATAAGTCGTGTCATATCTTTGCGTGAGACACTGTTAATGTACCGCGGCCGGCCAGCCACCTTTACAACATCCCACAGCTCTCAGCCCCTCGATCGGCATTGGAAAAAGCAGCCAGATGGTAATAACTCCAAATCATGTAAAAAGCACCAGGAATCAGTTTGAGAACACCTTCATCTAAACAAGCAGTATAGTTTGTTTTGTAAAACAATACGCATAGCGGCATCCGTGCGGCCCCGCGTGCGGCTAGCCGCCGGTCCACCTATGACCTTCGTTACAGGCTGCGTAACTTGCAACAGATCGCCACAGTTCAGTTGCCACTGCTCCCAACTTTTTAGCCAAGAGCGTTCTGACTGGTCCAAATCCAACCCGGCGGGGAAGGTTTCCCGGGATCGACGGCTCGAACAACAGGTGCCCTCTACCGGGTAAGGCAGAAATATTAGTTCACCTACGGCCGCCAGAGTGGTTGTTTTGACCATCCTTGAGTTGGGATCCAGCCACTAGAGTGCTGGGTTCAAGCATTGGTAGACATCGGTTGTAGTGGGTGTAACTACTGGAGGAGGGGGGGGGGGAGGGGGGTAGGGCTGAGAGAACGTCCCCCAATCGCCCGACATGGCGTTTTGACGTCCCAATTTGGTCCCTAAAACACACGTTTTTCAGGCCCTTCATATCAAAATGTCATTTTCATATCAGATTGCCCCCCAAGGTTCCAGTCCGACCGAACAAAACTTGATCCCCTCCCAAATGTCAAAAACGTGGTTACACCCATATCTGTATAACAGTCTGCATCTCGAACGTCAAGTCAGGTACCTGGGGTGAGCCGTGCGCAATTCTGCTCGTAGTTTTTTTTTTCTCTCAAGCATGTAAACTCTGAACTTCGGACATGTCACTAACACAGCAGTAACCGACAAAACAGTCACTGAACATCTTCAGATCACTCTGGAACGAGCCTTTTCGACCAAAACACGTGCTCGTATGCCACAAGCAATCCATCTTTCAAGGAAAGGCAAACAGCTGTTGATGGCTAAAGCGGGCAAGAGACTACACACTCATTTCATCTGATAAAAACTCACTGGTTGCAATGTTCTTGACAAAATGTCATTGTTCAATTCATCCCAGACTTGAAAAAACATTCGGGAGGATGTTTGTGAGCTGGCCTAGAAGCGCAATCAACTTAGACAAAGGTTCCACCTGGCTGTCATTCACACCGTGGCGCGACCACAAATTTTCTCGCATGGAATCTGACAAAGGGAGAACTGCTAGCAACAAACACGCCTAGCATTTGCCATAAATATCTTCAAGAACAGGATAGTACAACAAATACCTCATGTCATCGACTGGCATTGCTGAGGATGTTAAGTGTGTCTCTGTATATATATATATATATATATATATATATATATATATATATATATATATATATGGCATATCACCCCACGCGGTGACGAAGCTCCATCACATGAGAGTGAACCGTTACGACAGCCAGCGTCGCCCCAAGCTGCCTGGCGCCCGCGGCTTCCTACGTTACGTCTTCACAGCCGGAGACTATCCATTTCACCCCGATTCCTCCCAGCGATCGATCGCGATAGTCATCAAGAAACCAAGCCACTCGTCAGTTATCATAATTACAGCACAGACCGTTCTCTGGCACGCCTCCGATGACTCAAGCCGGCGACTGCGAGGAGAACGGACAGAGAGTATTGACACGTTTTCAAGTAGCTATGAGGTCGTTGCTTGTGCGCGTGTCCGCTGAATATAACACTGATCCTGACTGACAGCCGAAAGCATGTGGAAATTCCGTGGACATGCCATCACATGCTTGCGGTGGATACGCGCTTGAGTAAGCCGCTGGACGAAGGAGGCCGCAGGAATCCACGCATTCTGATCAACGCCACAAGCGACTGGACAAGACCTACGGCAGAGCACATTCCTAAGCGACTCCACTTTGCCGCTCATCAGATTGTGGCGAAACATGGCCGAAAATTGGCGGACAATGACTTGAAATTGTCGTCCCATGACGCATATGGTAGTCGCTGCGATCAGTATCGGCCCAGCTATTCAGCGCCGTCCCTTGACAACGCCTCGTCTCTTGTTATGCGTCAGGCATTTGAATCGGCGTTTAAGACGCATAGAGCGAAACGGAGGAACGCCCAGTCGACTTTTTATGATTCTGATGCGACAGGTCTCGGTATGCGGGCTGATTTTCAAAAATGCCAGCAAGCAATAAATTTGTATCTTTTTATGCAAACCGCGAATGAAATCAGTGTTCCAAATGCGCTTTGCAAATAATGAAACCAACGCTCTGTGGGCACCAATGGCGTGGTAGTAGTGTATCGTAGAAAGGTCATTTAAACAGCCAGCTGTAGAAAAATAGGCATCAAAAGCAGGCTAAACATCTGACAAAAAGTAAAATGATCGAGTGATCCATCGTGATTGAGAGCAACGAACTGATGGCGTAAAACCCAAAATATTTCACAAAGCTCAGATCTCACAGGAGCCAGAAATGAAGAGATACCATAAATCGCTGCATTGTATGGTACGCGTGAAATACGAAACCATGATTAATGGAACATGGACGTGATGTAGTATGCTCTCACCCGCAGTGCCGTGCTTTCGTTTGTAAGTAAAATTCAAGTAGTCGGCCGCCATCTTCGAAAAATGAGACCAGCCCTAGGTTTGATGGAAAACCAGTACGACTTGAACACAGCACACCAAGATCAGGTTGACCTGTGGATCAACGCGGCGTTCTTTTCAAGTTCAATAACGGCGTAAGGCTTTTAATTGGCTCCAGTCATTCCTTTTTTACGGTATGCATTGCAAGCAATGGGGTGAACGTAAGGGCTCAGGGGGCAAAATTCACATTCTTGCTGGCTTTCATATTAACACCATATTGACACATAAAAAGAATCGACACAAACGGTACATCTGCGTCCCTTCACAGGCTTTGTGTTAAAATTTTGTGGTATTTGAGTAAAAAACATTTCATGCATTGGTACGCAATTACTGATATGCCGTCACCGCCAATGAAAAGCGTGACTTTGAATCCGGCCAGTTGCAATGGCGTATTTCGTGTTTACAAAAACACATGGAGTACCGTGTGCGTCACGAATAATCTGATTCTGTCACTGAGAGGCCTTCAAAATTCTTTAAATTTGTAAGACACTTTGCTTCGACAAAAAACCGCGGTTCTCCCAACTTACGCGTCTGGCAACGACGACACTGTCATTCGCTGCGCTTCGATGTACAATGTGCAACAGTGTGCATTGCCTTTATCCTTTGCAAGCTATATATCATGAGAACATCCGTGAGTGTTGATAACCCCGGTAGACTATTACTTAAACGGTTACCTGATCAGGCAACAATACCAACTAGATGGACGCAATATGGACTGGACAGTCAAGCGCAGTTGGCTGCACTGTAATGGTTTGATCAACATCTTCATCTTATCAACATCTCATGTTCTACCTGCTCATCTTTAGAACTCCCCATCCGCTGCTGAGAACCAGCTAGCCTGCAAATAGCTCGCAAAAACGTATTAATTCACGTGAATTACAAAGCCGAATGCAAGGGGGCGCAGCCGGTTTGAATGTTTGGACATTGCAGGTCGGTTAGATCAGCATACGGACTGATACCACCTCACGCAAGTAGGTCAGATATTGTATATTGTTCCCTGCTGAGTGTACTGCTCACGTTTTTCATAAAGTATAATGAAAACGTAGTTCAGATTGTAAGCTTTTGTTTTAGATCAAAAACGTCTGGATAGTTTCAACAGATTCTGACAACGGGCACCCAACTGCCCTCCCTTCTTTAATATGCGTCGTAAGCGAAATCCAGCGGATGAGGAGGTCGTCAAATCGGTTGGGTCCTCACCAACAAATGATGTTTTGCTGCATAGCTGCTTATTTAGAACTTTCTGCTATCTCCCCTGATCCACATGATGCTTCAAACTTCCTTTTGCTATAATTCATTCTTTACCCTGCAATCTTTGCATTTAATGTTCAAAATACCTATTGCAATGCGTTTGCGCTGGGATATCCCACTGCAATATGGATCGGGTAGACCCAAAACAGCTTCGATCTATCTCCCTAGGCAAACTGAGACTCAGGATTCCAAGAAACGGTTTTCCAGCCCTACAAATCCCGAACAGATCAAACGGGACCACTTTGCGCTTTGTCTGACGTGGTAACGCGACTCGAAATTACCATTGTGTCACTCACCTACACTAGGCGCCGTGTTGAGGCCAGCTTTCCCGCAGCTATTGCAGGGTGAGGAACACATTCGCAGTAGAAATATGCTGACGGAATCCAGAGAGAGAAAATACTGCCACTTTCTACGGAGCATATTTTTATCCGAGGGAAGGCACTGGTTCGTGCACACAGGACACGTAAGGGGACTAATCCTGAAGGCCCGACATGATTACCAACTGGGAGTAGCATTAGGAGCAGGAATCGTCTAGGAAGCAACCTCTACGGACTCTGACGTGTTTTCTTTTTCTTTGATTCGCGTCATGTGACTTGGTGTGCTGCTGTGACTGACCTTGGTAATTTGTGGTATAAATATTGGCCGATTATGCACCGTCGCACTTTCCACGGCGTTTCCGACGTCCACGGTGTGCAGCTGCCACGGGTAGGACACGAGCACAGGTGGGGCAACATTTCTTCATGTTCCCACCCCACGTACGCGTTGCCTGCATCATAGCGGTGCCAGATTTGCGGAGTCCCTTAGGTGACAGGGCTGCTTGCAGCGAGTCGAAGCAAGAAGGGCAAAGCTGTCAATACTACTGTCATGCTGAGGTTGCTGGCGTGTAAAGGCCGCTTTTTGGAATCAATAGTTTTCTCCCTAATCAAAAACACAGTCTGAGAACACTTCTGTTGGGGTCAAACCCTTGAACACGAAAGCGGGCCAGTGTTCAGGTCAGAAATTTGCATACCTGCGAGGGAAGGCAGAGGTGACGCAGACGAAGGCAGACCGCGGTCTGGAGACGAGCTCCCCGCACGCACACCTCCACCCACACCCGCCGCACGGCTCTCTCTGCCGTCCAGGCGCGCCCCAGGACCGCGGCGCGCCTCGCGGCCGGCCGCCGCCTCTCCCGCCGTCCGGCCTATCACTCAGCGACGCCCTGTCGTGCGGCGGTGCCTCGCCACGCACCTTCCGGGGTCACGCGGCCGGCGGACGCCTCCCGCGCGCGGCCCGGGCGCGTGGCCGGCCGCTGGCGCCGGCCTTGATCCCGACGCCTGCCCTCTGGTGGCGATAAAATCCACCGGCCCGCCCGTGTCAGGGCTCGCCACTGAGCAGCTCGAGCGCTGGACTGTTGCTGCTCCTCCGTCGGCGGAGATGCCGATACAGCGGGACAGACTGCACGGCCCGAGACCCGAGTGTCGAGTCTGCGGATGGCGGTCGGGTTGAGGTAAACAAGACAGGACGGAACGGGCCAGGGCGGGGTGGGGCAGGGCGCGGCCCGACAGCAGCTTTCACAGTCAGCTGACTGCTTGCCCGAGCGCCTTCTCTGTGGACTGCGCAGTGTCATTGAGAAGAACGTCAAGCGGAGGGGGAAATCGGCCAAAACGTGCCCCTGCTTTTGGTTCGGGGATTTGTATTGGACCAGCTCGGAGCCAATTCTTAGGATTAACCAGCTAGACGCACCAGCTAGGGACAGTAGCCAGGGACACTAGCCAGGGACGGTAGCCATTTGGGTCGAATGATTGGAAGGGCAGGACGATGGATCGGAGGTTTTCTTCCTACCGTTTAGACTGGAATCGCAATGTGTGCGACTACTGGGGCATTACAAACTGAATATACGGTCGGAAAATGAGGGCAACTCATGAACCAGATCAGGCAAGTCCGGTCCTTATGTCATGCTTGTCTAACACCAAATCGACCGTTTAAACCTCAGAGGCCGCGCTGGAGGGCGTCAGACCTCCGCAGCGAACTCACCTGGCCGGTGGTGGGCGGCGCTTTTGGGCGGTGTCTGCGGCACCGGCTGGGGTCGCAGCCGGAGCCGCGGTGGCAGCGGCGGCACCTCCTGCAGCTCCTCCCCAGCCGACCCCGCCGCCACGTGAACGTCCGCCTGGCAGGCCGAGCGGGCGGATGACGTCAGAGCGGGTCTCGTCGGGGTTGGACAGGTGTTTTTAGCGCAGAGTTGCCATGTTCAGCAAGAGATATGTCTCCCACAAGATTCGGGAAAATGTAGATCTATTCGATATACGATGTTAGTTGGTGCGGAAGGTGACATTATCGATCCAGCAATCAACGTTCTGGACCATTTTTTGCACAGGGTCTGAAATGTCACGACGAACTATTTGTGTCTAAAAAGGTAGCCAGTTCGGAACAAATCCACCGACAGTCCGATGTTTAGTTCGTACAAGGGCACCTCAGGGCGAACAAGAATTTGTGCCCCCGCAAAAAGTATGGGATATGAGTGGTGAGATCTGGCTGTCCTTGTATTTCCAAATGAGACGTGTCTAAGTCCTGCTAATACAGCACTGACCACTGGCTTTAAGGACTGACGCGGTCTGGCGTACTGCTAATACAACACTGACAACTGGCTACAAGAACTGACGCGGTCTGGCGTACTGCTATTACAACACTGATCCTGACTGTTGGCTACTGGGACTGACGTGGTCTGGCGTACTGCTACTGCAACACTGACAACTGGCTACAGGGCCTGACGTGGTCTGGCGCACTGCCACTACAACACCGACCACTGGCTTACAGGGGCTGACGTGGTCTGGCGTACTGCTATTACAACACTGACCACTGGCTACAGGGCTGACGTGGTCGGGCGTACTGCCACTACAGCACTGACCACTGGCTACGGGACTGACGTGGTCTGGCGTACTACCACTACAGCACTGACCGCTGGCTACGGAGATGACGTGGTCTGGCGTACTACCACTACACACCGTCACTGGCTACGGGACTGACGTGGTCTGGCGTACTACCACTACAGCACTGACCACTGGCTACGGGGACTGACGTGTAGGCGTACTACCACTACAGCACTGACCACTGGCTACGGGACTGACGTGGTCTGGCGTATACCACTACAACACCGACCGCTACGGGACTGACGTGGTCTGGGCGTACTACCACTACAACACTGACCATGGCTAGGACACTGAGTGGTGGCGTACTGCCACTACAACACCGACCACCAGCTAGGGGACTGAACGTGGTCTGGCGTCTATACCACTACAGCACTGACCACTGGCTACGGACACTGACGTGGTCGGGCGTACTGCCACTACAACACCGAACACCAGTTAGCCGGGTGACGCGGGTCGGGCGTACTGCCACTACAACACCGACCACCAGTACAGGGCTGACGCGGTGGGCGTAATGACATCAACACACGACCACCAGTTACAGCTGACGCGGTCGGGCGTACTGCCACTACAACACCGACCACCCTTACAGGGTGACGCGGTGGCGTACTGCCATACAACACGACACCACAGTTACGGGCTGACGCGGTCGGCCGTACTGCCCAGTACGACACGACACCAGCTACGGGCTGACGTGGTCGGGCGTACTGCCACTAAACACGACAACCACTTACAGGGCTGACGCGGTCTGGCGTAACCACTACAACACTGACCACCAGTGGCTACAGGGCTGACGTGGTCTGGCGTACTGCCACTACAACACGCCACTGGCTACAGGGTGACGCGGTCGGCGTACTGCCACTACAACACTGACCACCGGCACGGCTGACGGGTGGGGCGTACTGCCACTACAACACTGACCACTGGCTACGGGACTGACGTGGTCTGGCGTACTACACACAACCGACCACTTACGGGCTGACGTGGTCGGGCCGTACTGCCACTACAACACCGACCAGCTACGGGACTGCGTGGTCTGGCGTACTACCACTACAACACTGACCACCAGTTACAGGGCCGACGTGGTCTGGCGTACTGCCACTACAACACCGACCGCCAGCTACAGGGCTGACGTGGTCGGGCGTACCTGCACGCCATTTCCTCTCCGGTGTTAAAACTCTTACCTCGGTTTGCTGGAGAGCTTGCGATACGTTGCCATTTTTGATCTGCATGGTTGCGTGTCACGTCCTAGAAGAGAAAAACGCACATTAGTTTAAATTCGAATTTGGATTTGCTATCGTAAGGTTCTCATGATGCAAGACCTGCGGCTGTTGGGCCCTTTATCATGTGCACAACATGTTAAAACACACCATCAGCTGCCAAGTGTACGCTCGGGCCAACTTCGACAGCCCTGCGAACGCTGACGTAAGGAGTGAATCCTTAACTAGACCTGGCCTGTTATCGCATCTACCATTCATTACTTTACAACCCAGGCCAATTCCCGTCTCGGCGGCTCAGTTGGTTAGAGCGCCTGCCTCCCGACTCACCCACCCGCGGCGGGGTGGGTTCGGGTCGCTTCAAGCGCTCGCTATTTGCCCTTGACAGGTGTGGCCTGCGGCCGGTGGCAGCGGTTGCGCTAAAGGTCAGTTGATGTCGGGGGGCAGGACGGACCGTGCCGAGCATTGCGGCACGTTAAGCTTTCGCCACCAAATTCTGCCGTTGCCTGGGATTGCGCGATCGGATGGTAGGGGTCAGGGCTCACACAACAAGCACTGCTTAGCGTGAGCGTTGATCCCAGAAATTCATCCATTCAAAGGGTTCAGATCAAATTTCTAAAAATATTCCCCGGGTCAGCACTGCGCCCCGCTCGTCCCGCGTGTTGAGCAGGGCGGTCTTACAGCGGCTGAAGTGCTCCTTCCCGACCTCAGCTCGCGACCGAGGCACGTGCGAAATCATGTCCAGGCGAATGCTAGGCTCTCTAACATCGTTCGTATGAATCAAACATGCCGCCGTGCAGATTTTTCAGCTGCGGCATGTGTGGGGAGCGCAACACAAGTTGGGGGAACTATGAACGCACTGCCCGTGCGATTATTACAGCGTGGGACAGTGGAATGCGGAATAAATGAAATAACTGAAAATCACATCGTTGAATGAAATAAAACGTAGATAATTAATTGAAATGCACTCGACACGTCGAGTTTCAGCTGCGATCAGCTTGCTGCACAGTCCAGAATACAAGCTGTTGGGCGCAGCCGAGCGTCCGACACAGCGAATCGCGAACAGCTGCCGGCCGCCGGACCGTGCTGGGAATCTGGTCACGGTGGCTGGACCGGAGATGACGTCACTGCGGCGCCCCGGCCTTCGAGCGGAGTCAGTTCCTGCGAAACAGCACCGCCTGCAGCTGTTTGAGGAGGGATGCAGGTGCTGGAACTCCGGCCACGCGCTTTGTCATGCTTGTCCAATGCCAGTTGTGTGGTCACATAAATCCGGTGTCTCCTTTGTTGCGGCGTCACATAAATTATGTTGTGTGCTGGCGATAGAGCCATTCATGGATCAAATTCGCAGGTCCAATCCAGGACGTAGATATGAAATATAAGCCATGCGTAACAACACCTTTTCATAAATGACAGCAAAACGGCCGCGGCAGTCGACGCGCCCGAAAAATCCAAAAATCGTTAACCTCATTTCATAAACGGCACATCATGTCGAGTCCAATACGCAATAGCATAACTAAAATGCTCCCTTATTAACGATATTAAAGCGTTATAATTTTTCAGCCCAATTCAAAATCCCTAAAGAGGCAAAACTAGCTCATATGAAGGCAATTATAAAGAGATTCATAAATAAGTGTTCGAAGCTTCAGTTTGTTCCCATGTGTGGGCAAGGCAAATTTGGATTCTGGTGAATTTTTTATTCGTGCCTTTTGAAGGAAAATAATGCAATCTAGTTCTGTGAAATTCATAGATTAACCCATAATTTATCGTTTGATCCAGCCGGTGTCGACCTCAGCAGGTGGTACCCATACACGGCATTGACCTACGTTTAAAAGGTTGTCAGGTCAAACCGGCCTAATGATAAACTGTACCACTTTTACATGTTCCAGCCAATCAGCAGTTTTGCGAGCACGTATTTCTGACCCTCAAAGACATAAGTGGGTTGACAGCTAGGCACCCTTCCAAAAATTGAAACTGGAAAAGCGGTCAGT